TGATTTTGTTCAGGATGTATGCAGTTGAAGAGAATCCCACGAAATAAAACGAGCTCGTATTATCCTACACATATGTTTGTTCTTTCTTTATTCAAACTAATAAAGGGAACCGGTTGTATGAAGTTGTTCAGTTGTTCACTTCTGATATCTGATTTCACAACTTCTGATTTGCATTACATTTCTTTGTCTACCCTAGTGTTATTACCCTCTTATTATAATTACTGTTTCCTTTAATTCCTAGAGGAACATAGGGCTTCAGCTGTGCGTCTCCATTGCGTTCGCTTCTCTGCTACAGTCTTCACCTGGCTCCAAGTCTGCCCAAACGCTTCCCTCTCCTCTTCACATGACCTCCTCCAAGTCACCCACCCTCGCACTGACGACCAACTCGCCGATTCCCATTCATCCGGGTTCCACTCGAGCAATGGCTTGTCTAGTGATGTCACTTGATGCATTGTTTTCTCAGAGTATGGCCAGCCAATCCATCTCCATTTCTTCCTATTTGTTTCACAATCGGTTCCTGCTGGGTTGGTTCGCTCATTGCCGGAGATCCCTCTCTGTTGCTGATCTTTTCTGGCTGGCCATCTGATCTTGAGTGGTATTGAGCGAAGACAACTGTTAATGAAGGTCTGTAGTTTGTTTGAGATGCTGTTTATGACGCGCAGTGCAAGTCTCTGATCCATCCGTATAGTGAGTAGCACTGACTGACTTCACATTGGAGTTGAAAATCCGGATCTCATTTTTGATGGTGATTGCTGTTGACCTCCTCACAGAGTAGTGAAAGCTTTTCTTGCTTTTCCGATTGTTGCTTTGATACCCTCGTCAGTTCCGTGTGTCTGTAGTTGAAACGATGCTTCCCAGGTAGGTTGGTGAAGGAGGTTGTTTCTTTCAGGTTCCTTCCATTTATGCTGATTGTTGTCTGTTGTTGTTGTTGCTGTTGCTGTTGGTGGTGTTGCCCAGGAATCTTCATCACCTCTGTTTTCTCTATGTTCACCTGAAGTCCTATCTTCTCTGGATGCCTCTTCTGCCAACTTGTTGCTTTTCGCTTGCATATCTTCCAGTTTGTGGGAAATCAGACATGTATCATCAGCGAAGTCCAGATCCTCCATGTTTTTTGTGTGAGTCCATTTTATGCCTGTTTCTTCGTTGCCGGCTGTTTGTCTCATTATTCAGCCTACTGCGATCAGGAAAATCATTGACGATAGTAGGCAACCAGCTTGTCTTACTCCTGTTCTCACTTCGAAGGATTCCGTAAGTTTCCCGTTGTGGATTACTTGGCATGCAGCATTGTCGTACAGCTGTTCGATGAGATGTATAATTGTCGGTGGCACCCCTTGGTAGTAGCGAAGTAGTTGCCAAATCACCTCTCGATCGACGCTGTCGAAGGCCTTTTCAAAGTCGATGAAGTTGAGATAGAGAGGTGAATGTCATTACCCTCTTAGCGTGAACTATAATGGTTTGTACCGACGCATAAGAATGTTAATATCAATATCGTTTCCATCTTTTTGCGTTTTTCATTCTATCAAAACTCTGACTACAACCTGAAACGCCATGTCTTTCCAAAGTAGTTTGTTTGGCAGATGAGAGCAACACTCATCATTTATAATCTCACTCTATCGATTATTTCACAACCTATATATATATCACAAGTGTCATACGTACAAAAATTAATTTTAGGTGTTGATGTATCCTCTAATCTGAGATGGCACCTCATTGAGCTATAGGTCTTCTCCACTATTTTAAAAAACAAACGATTTCATAGCTATAGAAACGCCCATACGCAATATTATATTACAACTCCTTCATGACAGTCAGTAAATGCAGTCAATCAATAATAATAATAATCGATCTACTTGCTAACCACGTGTTTTAGGTTACACCCACTGCCTTCCTTACAGTTATTATCTCATTACCTTACAATCTAAACTCTACTATCCTACGGAGGGTTTACCACCAGCTACGGCTTTCCTCACCGAGCAATGTTAGCTGACACAGGTTGTAAAAGAGTTTGCGGTGATTAAATCAAAACATGTCATCAATTTATGAAATCTTTAACTGTTGGTTTGAGCCAACCACGTAGAAAGGAGTAGGTTTATATGTCCAAACTAAGCTCACACTTAATAGTTTGCAAAAATTTGGGCATTGGGTATATGATATTCATTATTATGAAGGCATTTGTATTTCCTAATGAATAAAAAACGAAAACCATATTGTTGTTTTTAATGACACTTCGATATTTAATACTGCTAATAGCTTTATCAAAGTAGTAGTATTAAACCAGAATTTACAAAATCTCAGCTTATATATAATAACCCAAACATCATTCTTTACCATGAGGTAATTTTTACGTTGTCGAGTTGGTCAATTGGTCAATATAATAAAACTAACATTAAACATGATCGAAAACGTATTCTGAAGACATGGACCTCGATAGTTGTCATTCCATATAGTAGATCACAAAGGTCAGGCGACATCAGAATAGTACTCAATAAACACAACATCAATATTTTCTTCAAAACACAAGACACACTAAAAGGCAACACTGTTCATGTAAAGGACAGAATTCCAAAGGATTCACAATCGAATTGTGTCTATAAAATAAAATGCTTGGAATGTGATGCGATATACATCGGACAGACCTCACGAGAGAAATCAAAATCAGAAGAAACGAACACTGTATAGCATCTGTTCAACCACTGAGAAATTGAGTTGAACTAGGAAAGCTTGAAAAATCATCAGCCATAGGTCTACACGCACGCTATAGAATCAGGCCACAAAATTGATTTTGACAATATTGAAGTTATCCAGAAAAATTTCAAAAGTCGCAAAGAACGTCTCATATCAGAAGTAATTCATATTACGTGGAATCCAAGTTGTTTGAATAGGAATGATAGACTAAGACAGAATTTGACATGGTTCCAACACACACACACACACACACATCCCCATGAAGTGACAAAATGAAAGCGATTCCAATATGTAAACACATTCTGTTTTTATAATTTCATTTTTATTTAAACGCAGAAAAAACTTGGTACAATATGGCACCAAGAAAGATGCGCCACACAATAATAATAAAACAACATAGATTAAAAGTAAAAATATAAGTAGAAAACGGATAAAGAACTTCATCTGGAAGGAAAACAGTCATGTTTAACAAGTTCAAACAGTATTCATTAACTATCATCAGGAAGGGAAGAAAGAAGGAAATTGCAACACGTTCGCCATTGATTACGATTCTTGGTCATATCCGATAACGTTTCGAGCCATCGATTCGAGCTATCTCGTGGACCCCAACCAGGGAGTCGTGACGCACCAACCGATGCTAATCTAGCACAAATATCCTTCATCCCACGACGCCACGTCATGGACTGATCACCCCTCCGCCTTTTCCATCCCGTCCCAGGGCTGGCCAGCGAACAGAGACCTGTACAGAAGCCTCTGGGATGACATTCGCAGCACATGTCCAAGCAACGGGAGCCGGTGTTTTCAGATGACGACACTCAATGAATGGTGATCTCCACTGTGTTCAAACACACGCCGCCGAACCTCAGAATTATTCACGCGGTGATGCCATCGAACGCAAGCAATCCTGCGGAGACAGCGATGATCGAACACACAGAGTTGCCTCACATCCTCAGCTCGGGGTACCGTTAAGGCCAATACTTGATGTGCGAAATTCGCCCTACCATGCTCTAGCTAGATGGTCAGTAAATATTCTCAAACCTTTGCATGATAAGATAGTGAAATATAGCGTCAAAGATGTATTTGAATTCGTAGACAAAATCAAAGATACTAATATCAAGGACGAAACCATGATATCTCTGGATATAACATCTTTATTCACAAATGTACCTCTAATAGAAACAGTTAACTACATAAGTGAACAAGTGGATAGCCAGTTGATAAACATTGGCATCCGTACTGAAATCCTAAAAGAATTGTTATTAAGGTGTACCATGAATGTAAACTTCAAATTTGACGGCACGCTTTACAGGCAAGTGGACGGCGTGGCGATGGACTCCACATTGGGTCCCATGCTGGTTGATTTCTTTCTAAGTAAGCTAGAAAATGGACCTTTGAACAACCTTATCAGTAAGCTCCCATGTTTTTGTTATGTTTACAAATTGACGAACTTGACAACATAAAAATGACCTCATGCTGCAGAACGATAATTAAGTTACTGTATATAATAAGCTGAGATTTTGTAAATTCTTCTGGTTTAATACTACTACTTTGATAAAGCTATTAGCAGCAGCATTAAATAGCGAAACATCAGTAAAAGCAACAATATCGTTTTGTTATTCATTATTCATTGACAAATACAAATGCGTTCACACTGAAAAGGAGTAGATTATGTGGGGTTGGGGTCCTCGAGACACTGAGAACCAATTGGCTTGAGATTATGTGTGAGATATGACTGTAAATTTTCTTCTCAGTGGTGTAGATGCGCTTACTCTTTGTAATCTTTCAGATCCACTAAACCCTTATGTTTCTACATGTATTTATTCTTTCTCCCGTATATTTCTGCTTGTTATACTTCTTTGAATTTCTTTTTTTACTCTTTTCTCTACACTTGTGTGCCACATGGAGTGCGGCACAACTTGAGCTGTTGCAATCTTATGGAAAGTCCTACGCTGTGACTCAGTCAGGAAGGAAGGAAGGCATTATAACCTGTGCATCGGTGGCACAGCGGTTAGGACTCTCGCCGACCATGCACATGGTCTGGGGTTCGATCCCCGGCCGACGCACACCCGATATCAATGGTTGGCCTGCAAAATTTGGGCTACCGATATCACATGCTGAAAATTTCATACTTGTATCAAAAATACTATATGGAGTCAAGCTATAATAAAATAAAATAAAATAAAAAAATAAATCACTGATTGAATGCCCAGCGTATAAAAACAATAAGCAACAGATTGACACATCTCTGTTATAATGGTATATAATATGTTGCACAATCAAAAAAGAAAAAACTCATAAGTTTACGCATAAATTACCTTGACCAGATTTAGCCATTTCCAGAGTAATTTTAATTGTATAATCACAGGCATTATTTGCAGCTATAGCAGCTGGTTCATACCAGAATGGTGCTGGTGAATGATAAGATGTTGGCGACATGTGAGAATAAGGAGGCTGTGTAGAATGATCACCGGGTTTTTTTAAATCACAACTACCATCCACTTTTAATTTTAATTTATCCATCTCATCCAGTGCAGTGCTGGGCATATGTGTGGAGGAGATAGAATAAGATGATGTTGACCAAGAAGAAGTAGAAGAAGAAGATGTAGAAGCAGCTGATGAAGAATTTACAGGTGTCTTCTGACAATGATAAACATCATCCATTATGAAGTGTAGTAGTGAATCCAGTTTCGTGTTTACCACCAGTTGATGGTGATGCCGATGCCGATTGTGATTGTGATGACAATGATACATTAAGGCTCATTTGATGAAATTCCTTCTCTTGACAATTAGTTATTTCTCCTTCTTCATCTACAGATGATTTATTATTATTATTATTATCAATATTAAACGAAGATATATCCTCCAACGGTATAATAGGAATCATTATATCGTCGTCTAATTGTGTATTTACTTCTTTCATCTGCATGTAGTATATAATGCTGTGTGTGTGTGTATGTGTATGTGTCTATATGTATGTATGCACAAGATGATCACATAACACTTGATAGATGCAATAATACGCTGTAGTTGTGTATGTGTATGTGTGTATGCGTTTGCAGGCGCCTTTTCTTAATATGATTGGATTCTCTAAACTAAAAGATTAACAATTCAAAATAAATTTCTTTTTTGCAAATACCTCATTACACGCAGAGATTATAAGCGTGATGAACAAACACACACACACGCACACACACAAAGAAAAGAAATTAGTTCAATTCACTAAAACAAATATTTCAATGGTATTCTACTAGTATATTGATAGACAATATTACTTATAGTCTAATCTCTGCTAATATCAATTAATATGACTAGGTATGATGTCACACAGAATCGAAGACTTACAAGCGAAAACCGACAAACTGGTCGAAGAAGCAGCAAAGACAGGACTCCAGGTGAACATAGACAAGACGGAGGTCATGAAAATAACCAACAAACAGCAGCAGCAACATCCAGCGCCAATCACCATCAACGGGAGGGATTTGAAAGAGATTACTTCATTCACTCACTTATCTAGGGAGCACTGTCTCAACTACAGGCAGGTGGAATGGACGAGGATGTCAAATGGAGAATCGGGAAGGCGAGAAACACATTCATCAACCTGAAACCAATCTGGAAATCTTCGTCACTCCTCAACATCAAAATTCGGATTTTCAATACAAACTTCAAGTCAGTCAGTTCTTCTATACGGATGGATCAGAAACTTGGCGGCGGGTCACAAAGAATATTTCCAACAGCCTGTTGCAGACCTTTATCAACAACTAACTGTCTTCGTTCTATACTGAAGATCAGATGGCCGGAAAGAACAAGAACCAACAAGAAACTATGGGAACAAACAAAACAAGAAGCAATCGCTCAACAAATATGCAGGAGAAAGTGGAGATGGATTGGACACTCACTCGCTGAAGAGGCCACTCGCTGGGTGACATCGCGCGTCAGGCCAACGCTCGAGTGGAACCCTCAAGGGAAGCGGCGAGTGGGACGTGCAAGGGTGACATGGAGTAGATGGTGTGAAGAGGAGTTGAAACAGTATGGACTAACATGGATGCAGGTGAAAAGTACAGCAGAAGACAGAAGCAAGTGGAGACGTGCAGTCGAAGCCCTTTGTTCCAATAGGAACCCAAGGGAACAATAATAATATTATAATAATATGGAATCTAGTGAACTATTCTTATCGGTGCTTAACGATGATCAGCAGCATATATGTTAACACCTTCCTTCTAGAACTCATCATTTAGATTACCCTTAAACATCTGAGAGTAAAGGTGTTTCTTTCCTTAAGCGACTCCAAAACAGCAGGTAATAAGTAGGTTTATTAATTCCCCAGGTTCCGAGTAGAACATAAATCTTCAACGACACACCTCCATTTCATCCTGTTCTCCGCAGTCATCTTTACGTGGCTTAAAGATTGTCCAGAGGATCTCACCTCCTTCTCACACGATCGCCCTCCATATCATATTCCAATCCAATCCACGCCCAACTCTTCGTTTTCCAGTGGGGTTATATACTCAAGGACCTGCTTAACGCGAAATTTCACGCAACGATCGCCTCAGTGTTTGTCCATTCTATCTCCATTTCTTCCAGTACATTTCTTGGGAGATAGATTCTTGATTGATTTGTTGCTAAAGTTCCTTGCCGCTAATCTTTTCTGGCTTACCATCTGATTTTCAGTACCGAGCCAGCGAAGGCAGCCGCTGATGAAAGTCTGAAGCCCATTGGAAATGCTTTTGGTAACAAGCCAAGTTTCTGAACCTTAAGTACAGGAGGGACTGACTGACCTGACATTAGTGTTGAAAATCTGAATCTTGGTTCCTTATGTTGAGTGCAGAAGATTTCCACACACTGATTTCAGACTAATGCAAGTCTGTCTTGCCTTTTCGATCTTGGCTACCTTTGACATCCTCATCCGTGCCGCCACATGCAGTTGAAACAACGTCACCTAGATAAGTGAAGGAAGTGACCTCCTTCAAATTTCTTCGGTTAATAGTAGTTGGTGCTTGTTGTTGTTGGTAGTCAGGTATCTTCACCAACCCCACCCCACCACCACTGACTTCTCTACGTCCACTTGAAGTCCTGTCTTTGCTGTTTCTTCTTCTAATTTGTCAGTTTTCTCCTGAAGATCTTCGAGTTTATGTGATATTAGACATGAATCGTCCGTGAAGTCGAAATCTTCTAGATTAGGTAATGTGGAACGTAAAACAGTGTATGATTATGCACTAGGTTGTAAATCATACTTATACTTGAAGGTGTAGTTGCTTGGCATAAGCAGTCAATTTTTAAGCAACAGATCGTGGGTTTACACGTTATCCTGCCAGCTTTAACCTGAAAACTCACATAGTAGTACAATAACCACAATGATACTAATTGTAATGCACAGAATATAACATGCAAAATACAAGCATATTATGGAATTTAGTTATCCTGCCTGAATGTTTTTGAGCCTCTGTACATGACGTTATTTAACATCATGGGATGTAATCAGTCATAATTATTATATCAAGTTAAACAAAACCGTATTCTACAGTTATATGCATACGATCGATACCAACCAAACAGCATAAATTAGAACAATGAAGAATTTCAACTAGTAGGCAGTTACAGCCAATACCGCAATATATATATAGAAAAATAAACAACCAGATTTCACTATTAGCCTATAACCTGTTCAACAAATCCGTGTGCAACTGGTGAGTTAAGTCATTTACTAAGGTAGACTGGTTTCACCAGCAGAGGAGGACTATTTACAGCACATACCTGTTTGCTTACGTAAGAATTTAATGATACTGGATCTAGAAGTCAGCGCTTACAATTAATAAAAACTCAACACCTACCCTCAATAAGTAGGTATAAAGAAAGCTAGATACAATATATGAGTACTGTACAAGAAACCAATGATTACATATAAATGTTTTATGTATTAAATGATACAATTCTAGCTCTTTGGTGCATATGAATGAAAATTTTATTTTAAAAAATGATACTGACTTTTGGGGGTTCCTTTATATTCGTGGATCAAAAGGTAAATATCGAGTTGGTTTGCAAGGATTCGATCAGTTACAGGTTTGATCACGACCTGATATCAGTTATACAACCATTGGAAAATCAGCAGCTGTTTTGTCCTAGTTTGAGATTGCTCAGCAGCACGTGCCCATCACGGTCCGAACCAAGGATCTTCCGGTTATAAGGCAAGCTCACAGACAATGCAACCACTGGGATCCAATCCTTTTTTTCCTTCACGTTCCCCAGTGGAACATAGGGCTTCAAGCTTATGGCTTGAAGTTTCGGTAGCAGTGGTGTCTATTTTACAGGATGGGGTTGCTAGCCTCATGCCCAACCTTCCCTCTTAACCAGCTTTTATTTCTGGCTTAGCGAGGTAAAGGAGTGCGTCTGTGGCCGGGGATCGAACCCCGGACCATGTGCATGGTCGGCGAACGTCCTAACCGCTATACCACTGACGCACCCAGTAACCCATAAATTCCAACCTCTGTCAACATCATAGGCGAGTAACTGTTCTCTCACCTGACTTAGTGGACCCCGCTGATCACGACCTACTTCACACTAGAACTCCAGGTAGTCGAAGTTGAATGAAGATATGAATATAGCTCCCTTAGCTTGGTCATAAAACAGTTATTATAGAAATAAAGGAGAATACTTATATCTCAGTTGTAACGGCAACTAAGCTGACGTGTTGTGCGTCGGTGGCATAGCGGCTAGGACGCTCGCCAACCATGCACATGGTCCGGTGTTCGATCCCCGGCCACAGACGCACTCCTTTACCTCACTTAGCCAGAAATAAAGCCGGTGAAGAGGGAAGGTTGGGCATGAGGCTAGCAACCCCATCCTGTAAAAATAAACACTGCTACAGTAACTTCAAAACTCTAGTTTGAAGCCCTATGTTCCACTGGGGACGTGAAGGAATAAAAAAAATTGACATGTCGTCTGAGTATATGTTGGCAGACATTTTTTTAAACATTACACTAGATGCCTTAACCATATCTAGTTTTTTTTTGTTTGGCCACCTTTAATTATCACTTTTACATTACAATGAATAAACAAAGCTATTATTATCTTAAAAAATCCAACTAACTAACAACAAAGAAAGTATTTTGAAGAACATTTAGAGAAAGGTTATGATCAATTTTGGAAAAAAAAATCAACAGAAACACCAACAACATCACAAAATTCAACATTAAAGAAGCAGAAAAAAAATGAAATCAATATTCATTGTGTATTTATGTAATAGACTTATATTTACAAAGGGCAGTGATTTACAATATAAGCACATCATTTTTCACATAAATTTAAATCACAATATTATCACATTATAGTTAGTTAATATATATAATATTTTGGTTTTTCTAAAATCAAATCAAATGACCACGAAATCTCAAGAGGCTGCAATGATACTCAGTGGTTCTTGTAAGTTTTGCACTAAAGCATTCATTTTGGCTCGTAGCATTCCTAGACCAACATCCTTTGAAGCATGCAGGCAAAGTAGAACGGAGGCTACACGTGTGATGATTAATCTACCCTCGGATAATTCTAAGATAATTTCTTGAACAGTATCCTGAAACAAGATAAAACATTGCTGCTATTATTATTAGCATTAGACTATAACTGCTAAGGAAAAACTGCGATATACAAAATTATTAATTTTAGGTTTAGAAAGGAGTTTTCAAGTATTGGTTTTGGTAGGGATTTTGTTTGATTGCATGGAGGATTTCATCATGAGCTGAATTCAAGGACCATTGGATCGGGTCCCAGTGGCTCAATGGTCTACGAGCTCGCCTTGTAACCAGAAGGTACTGGGTTCGAACCCCGGTGGGTGCGTACTGATGAAGAGGCCCAAACTAGGACGAAACAACTGTCCAGTACTCCCTGCAGGTTTTCCAGTGGTTCTCTAACTGATGTCAGCTCATGATGAAATCCTCCATGCAATTAGAAAGGAGTTGTTTAAAAAGATTGAGTAGTTGGGTTTTAACTGCTCATGAGTAGTATGACACAATTTCATGAAGAATTGCTCTAAAAAACCTATAAATTTAGATAAACAACAAGACAATATAAATAAGTGTTGAATAGAGACCATTATATGATTAAAATCCGGTTCAGGAATTTGCATGGAAGTGTATTTGTTTAAGTTGCTAAGGTTCACAAAAACATGTACTCACGGAAACGGGAACTTAGAGGGATATTGTAACTGACAAAGTTGGGTGTGAACGAGAAAACAATTAAACGAAAACCCTGCAAACAAAGTTGCTACAGAAACTTCTGCACGATGAATCTCCTTGCGCCAAAAGAAAAAGTCTGTGTGGGGACATGGAATGTCTGCACCATGTACGAGATTGGCAAACCTGCCCAGATCGCAAACGAAATGAAAAAATACGGAATTCAAGTACTGGGGATATGTGAAAGCAGATGGAACGGGAATGGACTCACCAAATTGTCAACGGGTGAGTCAGTGATCTACTCCGGTCACCCAGAGGATAACCACATGCACACCGAGGGCGTGGCTATCATCATGCCAGCAACGGCAACGAAGGCCCTGATGCAATGGGAGGCGGTCTCGCCCAGGATAATGACCGCCAGATTCAACTCCAAAGGAAGGAAAGTGTCAGTTATACAATGCTAGGTCAACAGCACTCAGTATCAAAACGAAGATAAGATCCGGATTTTCAACTCCAATGTGAAATCAGTGCTACTCACTATACGGGTCAGAGACTTGCACTGCGCGTCATAAAAAGCATCTCATGCAAACTACAGACCTTCATTAACAGTTGTCTTCGCTCAATACCACTCAAGATGAGATGGCCGGCCAGAAGAGATCAGCAACAGAGAGGGATCTCTGGCAATGAGCTAACCAACACAGCAGGAACCGATTGTGAAACAAATACGCAGGAAGAAATGGAGATGAATTGGCTAGCCATACTCTGAGGAAACAAACCATCAAGTGACATCACTAGACAAGCCATTGCTCGAGTGGAACCCGAAAGGGAAGCGGCGAGTTGGTCGTCAGTGCAAGGGTGAGGGTGACTTGGAGGAGGTCATGTGAAGAGGAGATGAAAACATGTGGGCAGACTTGGAGCCAGGTGAAGACTCTAGCAGAGAACCGAACGCAATGGAGACGCACGGCTGAAGCCCTATGTTCCTCTAGGAATTGGAGGAAATAATAATAATGATAATAGTATAGATTATCAGAATCCGGAAGAAAATATAAGGTAAGCAATTTTGAGCTTATTAATCAACAATTTCCAACCATTAATTATTAGCATTCAGACAATTTGTAACAACACTCATCTATTTCTCTCAGCATATAAAATAGAGAATTTCTCACTGTTTAAATCTTAAACAAATCGGATTAGTGTGAAAAATTCTCCCTTGAATGAATGATCGCATAAAGTTAGGCAAATGTTCGTTAACTAGCAAAACAAATAATCGATAATGGCAAATTGGTTTGAAGTCAGTTATACAGGATAGATTTTTCATACACCAAGTTGTGAGACATACTCATTGTGTGAGTATTGATGATATTAACCAGTTTCCTAGGCTGAATGAAGTAGGAGGAGAGGAGTTTCAATCCTAGACCAACTGGATGAAGGTCAAGTGCCAGAGCTAATGATGGAACACTTCCTGTGAGAAGACGAAATGTGTACAAAAACGGAAATTTTGGATAATGTTGTCCAGAGTCCTTGATAACTGAACTTAACGACTTAGGAATCGACTTGTTACCAGGGAATAGTCTTATGGACTTAGAATATGCAGATGACATAGTCCTGTTAGGGGAGGATGCTGACAAAATACAGCAGAGTCTTCTGAACACCTTGAGCAGCAATCTTCGTATATTTGGCATGCGATTCGCCCCTGTAAAATGTAAGATGCTGCTACAAGACTGGACAACGTCGACTCCCAGCTTAGTGATAGGGAGTGAAGTGATAGAACATGTTGAACACTTCACCAACGGACTGATTGGTGACGAAATCTCAGCACGGATCCAAAAAGCTCGAGCTGCTTTTGCTAACTTACACCATCTCTGGCGTAGGTGTGACATCCGACTATCAACCAAGGGACGTGTGTACTGCTCAACAGTTCGTTCCGCCCTCCTCTATGGCTCTGAAACATGGCCAATACGAATTGAAGACATGAAAAGGTTGACTGTTTTTGATCATAGATGTCTACGATCTCTTTCTCACGTTAGGTGGTATAACAAGGTAAGTAATGTTGACGTTAGGCGTATAGTGTTGGACAAAGAGGGAAAATCAATCGAAGAGAAGAGGCTATAAAGTTACATAGATTCAGCTGGCTAGGTGACGTGCTGCGCATGCCTAACTATTGCCTTCCCCACCCCAACGGGCATTACTAGCTGATATATGTGCAGGTTAGAAAAGAGTAAGTGGTGGCCAAACAAAAACATCACATCAATCAATCCATTAAATTCTTGACAGTTAAACTGAGTCAGGTTGCGAGATGCAGACTTCCGGGTTGGGGCCCGCCCTCGGGACTCTAAGAATCAATGGCTGGAGACAGACAATAGGTGACATGACTCAAAATCGTTGTCAATGGCCTACGCAGATGTATTCAGTCTCTCGTGTAATCTTTCATATTCCTTTCTACCATTACTCATTCTGTTTCACTCTTACACTTGTCAAAACTCTATTGATTCTCTTCACTCATCTTCTTGTCTACCTTTGTGTGCTATTTGGAACGTGACAACTGTCTGTCTGTCTGTCTGTCTGTTTTCGACATAGAACTTTGCACATATGTGCGGCAGTTCAAGTCGCCACAATCCATGTAGCACGCGAAGCACGAGAAGGAAGTAGAAGAAATGCAAAATATAGACAGTAAACAGTGGTGTGAGACAAAGGAATAGTAATAGCGGAGAACAAAAGTTTAATTGGAAATCATAAGTCACAAGGAGTGGATGCATCTGCGCCACTGAGAACGATTTTGAGCCATGTCGCCAATTGTTTCCAACCATTGGTTTTTACCATCCCGAGGGCCCCAACCAGGAAGTCTACATCTTCCTACGTGGCTTAGATTAACTGTTGTGGATTTCATTGATTGGTGCCATGTTTTGGTTTGACCGCCGCTAGCTCTTTTCCAGCCTGACCCTATATCAGCTAACATTGCCCGTCGAGGAAGGCGATGACTAGGCATACGTAGCACATGTCCTAACCATCTCAGTCGATGCAATTTCACAGTCTCGTCGATTGATTTCCCCGCCTTACCTAGCACTCGACGCCTAACCTCAATATTGCTCACCTTATTATTCCACTTCACGCGGGAGATAGAACGCAGACACCTATGATCGAAGACAGCTAATCTTTTCATGTCTTCTGCTCTCAATGGCCAGGTCTCACAGCCATAAAGGAGGACGGAGCGGACTGTTGAGCAGTACACACGCCCTTTGGTCGATAGTCGGATATCGCGTCTACGCCAGAGACGGCGAAAACTGGCGAATGCGAACCTAGCCCTCTGTATTCGTGCTGAAATTTCGTCGGAGATCAACCCGTTGGGGCTGATGGTACTTCCCAAGTAAGTGAAGCGGTCAACGTGTTCTACCACTTCACTTCCTATTTCTAATCTAGGGGTCGATGAAGTCCAATCCTGCAGCATCATCTTACATTTAATAGGGGCGAATCGCATGCCAAACATGCGGAGGTTGTTGCTCAGGGTGTTCAGTAGACTCTGCATTTTGTCAGAGTCCTCCCCTAGAAGGACTATATCGTCCGCGTATTCTAAGTCAACGAGATTCTTCCCTGGTAGCAAGTCAATCCCTGAGTCGCTGAAGTGAGTTAGGGTTAAGTCCATTAGTACATCTATGATGAAATTGAATAGGAATGGGGATAATGGGCATCCTTGACGGACGCCACTAGTCGTCACCACTTCAGATGACAACTCGCCATAAGCCCTCACCTGGCTGCATGAGTACGAGTAGAGTGCCTTAATCAGTGCAATGTATTTTCTTGGCATTCCCTTTACAGCCAAGCATCGCCAGAGAACCTCCCGGTCGACGGAATCGAATGCCGCCTTTAGGTCAAGAAATATAATGATTGTCGGACGCCGGTAGGAATGCCTATGTTCTAGAATCTGTCGAAGGGTGAAGATGTGATCAATACACCCTCTACCTGGCCTAAAACCTGCCTGGTTTTCTCGTGTTTGTGTCTCCCGAGCACCACTTAATCTACGGAGTATTATTGAGCCTAGGATTTTAGATACTATATTAGTCAAGCTAATCCCTCTGTGATTATCACAAGACGACTTGTCCCCCTTCTTGTATATCGGGATGATCAGTGACTTACACCAACCCGATGGGACTTCCTCTGATTCCCAGACGCTGCCTAGAACCTCCGTTAACGCAGACAGTAAACTGTCGCCTCCGTACTTAAATACCTCTGGAGTCAATAAATCAGGTCCCGCTGCTTTGCCTAGCTTCAGATTGGTGACAGCTTTAGTAACCTCGGTTAAGGACGGAGGACCTGTGTCTATCTCCCATTCAGGGAGGTGCTAGATGTCCGGTAGGTTAAGTGTGGCTGTGGGCCAATTAAACTGCTCCTCATAGTGTTCTTTCCAGCGCTCCAGACGTCTATCCTGGGAGCTAATTATAGTGCCATTTTTCTCGGAGATTGTTTCGCTTATCATTTGCCTTTTACCACCTGTTTCCCTGATAAGCCTGAATAGTTGTCTGGTGTTGCCTATCGCCGATGCTTTTTCCATCTCTTTCGCCTTTGTCAACCACCACTGTTCACGGTCCTTGCGGAGACTTTTCGTAAGTTTCCTCTTGTGCAGCTTTCGCTCCTCATTGAATTTGGAGCTCGCCGGAATAAGTCTTCTAGCATCTATCAGTTCGGATGAGGCAGTCGAAATCCAATGGTTTTTACTCACCTTTGGATTTACCTTATTCACAGCTTTTACAGCTGTATCTATGGCTGACTGAATATTCTTCCAGGCTTCTTCAGGGTGAGCGCAGCTGTCAAACTCAGATATGTGTTTAGCTAGTTCTTCCTCAAATAGGGACTTAGTTCCCTGGTCGAGCTGGGGACGTGGTGGGTTTACCGCCAGCTGTTTCCTACGTCCGTTCAGTCGTAAGCACACACGAGCGCGGACCAGTGCGTGATCGGTATCTACACACGTGTTCCAGAAGGAGCGACAATCCCCTACCGACCCACGCCAACGATAGCTTATTGCTATGTGGTCTATTTGTGTCCAGCGTTGATTTGATGATGGTGGTCGCCAGGTCAAACAGTGTCTCTCCTTGTGTTTGAAGTTAGTGCTTACAAGATACAAATGATTATCTGAACAGAACTGTAGGAGACGGTCACCGTTGTCGGTTCGCTGGCACGGAATTCCGTATGTGCCACCAACATTCTTCTCAGATTGACACAATTTCCCTACTTGAGCATTAAAGTCACCAGCTAAAACGACTATATCTGAGCGTCTAGCCTTTCGCAGCAAACTGGACAGCTTTTGGTAGAACTCATCCTTCGTTTCATCCGAACTGCAGTCAGTGGGGGCGTAGGCGGAGATTACGAAAAGGCATCGGCGAGTAGTGCAGTCCTTTCTCCTTTTCACTGATCCGTTCAGGCGGACAGCACACATTCGGCTATCTACCGGGATCCAGTCAAGTAATGTCTTTTCTGCTCTAGTACTTAAAGCTATCCCAACACCAGCTAATCCTCGTGAGCTAGCCGTCGCATCTCCTGACACCCTCAAGGTGAATTTTGCAGATTCATCCTGTTGGCCAGGTGGGGTTAGGTGAATAACCACACTTGGGTCTTGTATGCGTGTTTCTGAAACACAACATACATCAATGGCTCGGGATGCCAGAGTCTTGGCTAGTGATGCTTGTTGTCCTATTTGGCAAAGTGTCCTAACATTAAATGCTCCTATATAAAATTGGTGGCGTGGTTTTAGGAGACCATCAGTGGTGGCTTTTTGGCTTCCATCGTTATCAGTGCACACAGAGTGAAGGGGAAGTGAAGAGCCAACAAGTAGAGGAGTTGCATTAGTAGAAGGAAGGCAAGATAATAGAGATGAAGATGAAGACAAAGATGAGCGAGGATTAGAGGGGTTTCGCGTGCACTTCGGATTGTGAGGGCGATTGTTACTTCCCGGCTGCCCACACCGTGGAAGTTGGTTGCGTGACCGCAGAGCCCAGGGGACAACTGCTTGAGGCCGGTCACACACGGCCTGTTTTTGTTTGTTCTTTTTTATATGGTGTGTCTCAGTAGCGTATTTATCACTTCTGCCCTGTGACACGGCAGCAGAAAGCGCGGTCGTTGTTAATCCGGGCCCCGACCGATCCGGCATGATATTTTGTGATTTATTTGAAATCATAGGATTGGATTGGGTAACTGCTTTTAGTCTAACTGCTATCCAAACAACCTTTCTGGCATGGTAGGACCTGCAGGAACATAAGTTCCAGCCATTATAGCTTGTTGGGTCATTGCAGTGTTCAAGCCCGACCACCACGTCAAGGTAGCAGCTATCGGTCGGGAACGTGGCAACTCGAACTGCTGCACTTCGGTGCCAAGTTCTATGTTGAATTCAGTCAGTCAGTCAGTCAGAGTCCTTGATAACCACTTTTTGGTATTTTCTGAAAATTAAGCAGAAAACTTATAGTTTTTAGGTCCACTTAAATTAGAAGTCAACACTATCATGATATCATATGACCCCTCTATTTAATTCACTCTGAAAGCATCACTATCCGTACTCTAGATTCATCTAAATGATGTTCATTTGCTTAGATACTTGGCTTCTAACTGGAAAGCAAAAATTCTAAATATTATTTCAAGCACTATAACCCAAGCAGTCATAAAAGCATTCCTCATAGCTTATCGTATAAGTATCTATATTTCGTAAGTTGCACTTTTTACTTTGATTAAGATAGCATATTAAGACAACCAACAGTTATATGGGACCACATGCAACTATTTTAGCAATGTTAACCCATCAACCTTCAGGTAAGAAACCGATACACCAAACCCTAGAAAAAAATGGATGCCCACTCCTAGTGTTTATACCCTTACCGAAGACAACAGTGATCAGAAAGTTGCTTTTTGGATGCCTGGAGACTAAATAAACTGGAGCGATGAGTTACATATTCATTAAATACACATAATCACTAATCCTTATTTCCGCTAGAAATTATAGGCCTATTATTTTTGCTGATTAGTACATATTTACACAAATTCATATGAAAATTTAGAAACCATAGCTTGGAGCATAAGCCTCCGAGAAATACAAAATTTGTCAGTAATTGTGACTGGGAGCATATGTGAAATTTGACCGCAATACTTAATATCAAATTCGCTGAGTATGTAGGACTTCACGGGGTTTTTTAAATCATATACTATTTAAATTTTTAAGGTAAGTTTTACGCAGCATGAATTAGCATACAGACAAATGACATCGATGGTTTTCTTGAACATTTTAAACTATAAATACAACACAAAATCCCCTTACAAGCCGTTAGTCCCTTAAAATTACCAACAGATTACATATAATTCATGACAAGGGTTACTAGTAGAAGTTTGATCATATGCACGAATATATGTTCAAACAATTAAAAGAGCTTACACAGACGACCTGACACGTTAAGTGTACAAGCAACAAAAATTAACCATACTATGAAGGTTTGATTCAGAAGTATTAATATATGTGTAAAACTTGGGCACTGTGGTAGTAAGTAATTCCATATTAGTTTGTTTATTAGATATATCACACAGTGAAACAGTATTATTTACTGCATGACACAGTTTCGAACAAAATTTATTGTTCATAGTCATATTAATTATGATCACACGACTTTGACACTTGAGGAGGGGAGCTCCCAATGTTAGATTGCAACGTAAAGAGGAAAGAAGATGGGAAGTTAAACACTAGTGTTTACAGGAAACCCACACACTCAAACAGATATTTGGACTTCCGATCATCCCATCCTATGTCAGTAAAAATAGGATTGGTGTAATGTTTAAATGACAGAGCACAAAAATTAAGTAGTACCAAAGAAAATCTGAAACAGGAACTGATACACATAAAAGAAGCCTTGAAACTTAATAATTACCCGGATAAATTAGTCAGGAAATATGTTAGGAAATGTAAAAATAAAATAAATAATGATAATAGCGATAGTGATAATAACAATAATAATGATAATAGTGATAATAATATCAATGACGACACCAACAATAAAGAATCTAAATCATCAGTAGTAATTCCATACAAAAAAGGAACCTCGGAAGCCTTACGCAGAATTCCTAACAAGGCAGGAATAAAAACGGCATTCAAACCCACAAACTCAATTAGAAACAAGCTTTGTCGATTAAAGGATCCTGTAGAGCCTTTAAAACAAAACAATTTAGTTTATCTAATACGCTGCCTGCAATGATTGTCAGGTCAAATACATAGGTCAAACTAGTAGAACAGGGGCAGTCAGACTAGCCGAACATAAAAACTTAGCAAAATCTAGATTGGTTGACCCGAATAAGATAAGAAATCTAGAGAATAGTTCAGCTATAGCACTACATGCAGTCACACACAACCATACAATAGGATGCATAGGATAGGATGACAGTTTTAAAATCTAATGTCACAGGGTATAGGGAGAGATTGATAACAGAAGCTTTGTTTATCGAATCAACTGCAAATACATGTAATAGGAATGATTCATCACCTGTCCCCGATATCTGGAAAATTCTACTCCCCCTACGACAAATTGGAGAAAACAAAGAAAGCTATAAAACTCAAGTGTCAAAGTCGTGTGATCACAATTGATGTGATTATTAACAATAAATTTTGTTCGAAACTGTGTCATCCAGTAAATAATACTGTTTCACTGTGTGATATATCTAATAAACAAACTAATATGGAATTGATTCAGAAGTATTATTAGATCCATATAGATTAGACCTTCTTACATTTGAAGCGAAGTTTCAACATTTAGCAACTTTTTAAAACATCATAAGAAATTTAAAAAATATCAAAAACAATGTCTTGCCACCAGTTAGGCCACTTTCTATAATTAAAAACAGCATAATATACATGAAGCGCTAATCAATTAAAACGACTAAAACACAGTTTTGTGTGTAGCGAAAGTCAATATACCATTACTAACTAGCTTAATATTGTAGAACTTTGCGAAAATACCCATCAGTTCAAGTTACCTCACTTCGAAGGAGCACGCATAGAAACAGACGGAACTAATGCAGTGAAACTATGTCACCAGTCGTTCCCTGGTTTTTTTTAATCAAATAGCATATATTCAGATAAAATTCTTTAAAAAAAACAAATTACCGATTCACTGGATTCTAGCTGACGCTGATATATATTCCAAATATTAGCAGCGATTGCTGCCTTAGATCGTTCACTGTCACCAGCAAGACTTGTATATGCTAGAAGGACACCTTCGGGATTAAATAACATAACCGACTGCATTCCACCAGTATTCATTTTTCTTAAGGCGGAAGTAAGTGCACGTGGGCGTAGCATCTGAAATAAAGTGAAATCTAGAGTAATATATTCAGTTATCTTGGCTTTATGCAGGTGAGTTACAATTTTTTGACACCGTAAAGTCAAAGCACATAAGACTTCAGAAGGTGCTCATCATTGTTATTCATACTACATTGCTTCTAATTGCAAGCAGACGGACACAAACATGGGAGTAAAGAGGAGGAAGAGATGGAAATAATATAATTGAATGAAGGATTGTTTTACTGTAGCACTGAATTACATCCTCAGATATCTGATAAAAAACAGTGGTAGGAAATCCTGCATGTTAATTTGTTTCTAGGTTATGCTAAATTTCCTTTGCACACGAAAGGATAAATCACCAGGTATATTATACAGTATGACTGATCATAAGTGTAGTTAATCACCACCAAGTAGATTATCTCACTAAAAAACTAAAATCTATCATATCGCTACTTTCTGCTCTGGTTAATGCTGCTACAATGAAGCATTCGAATAAAGAGATGTGAAGAAAACTGTCCTCAACTCCTATATTACTAAGTCCAACTGCAGTTGGGTCGACAGAGAGACTCCAGCAATATAATATAACTTCAATACAGTATGTAGTGTAGTTAATTATTTTTAAACTATTCCTAGGCGTTGCTAAAAATTGTCATTTACCCAAGCTTACAACAATTCTAAACTTATTCTAACCTATTCTTCGATAATGCCCTTTTATGGTAATTGAAGATTTTATCTATCCACTATGTTCTGAAATAACACTGGTTGTGCTTAAAAAGAGAGCTGGGTGCTGAATTAAGTCTTTTCGTTCTGATGTAACGCTAGTCCGTGCTTGATATTTCCTGTGAGGGCTGGAACAACGCAGATAAGCAAACCCAGTAGGTTCTGATCTACTCCTGAAAATGTCTAGAAAAGAACACGTTGCTGAATTAGTGCCAGTCACGCTGAAAACCAGCACTGAGTTCTAGTCTGTGCCATTAAAGAATCCATTTCAGAACCGATTCGGGATTTACTCACCATAGAATGTTAGAATTATTTCAGAATTAGTGAGATTTATTTCAGCATTATAGTAAGCTCGGGTATAGACTTGCTTTCAATACCACACTTCAGACACTGAAAAACAAATAACGATTTAGGAGGACTCAAAATATCCCCTTGCTTCGAAAAGATTAATACTATAAGTTAAGAAAAATGGGGAACGAAAGGAAAAAGTAACTACGATCGTAATTACTTTTTCACAACATATTGTGAATTTTTATTTTCCAGGTGACTTTCGCACTAACATTCAGATCGTACTGCTAGAATAAGGTTCTCATGACGAATTATTGCGAAAAGCACCCCTTCGTTTACCATTATTATAACTCTGTAACGGACTAAATACTTATAGTAAAACAACCTTCAAGTGACTGTACCGTCTAAACTTAAAAAAGCCTCTACTTTAACCGGCATTCTAATGTCAAAGGCTTTTTACTGGATACAGAGAAGGGAAAGATGTTCTGGTCTTTAGTGACAAGAAACGGCGTATTGGACGATATTCAAGCCCATTCATTGTGCTGAAAACCTCAAAATGATATGCTTCTCGATTTCGTGTGGGATTATAGTGGAAAATAATACCCTTGAATCAATAGGTTATAACTCCATAGATGTAATAACTGCAGATGGCTCTATAAAACCAACAGCTTGTGGCTTCACCAGCATAGACATCTGGGTGCTGATTTTCGCTGTTTTAGAAGTCTAATAAGGCCGAATTAAGTCGTCAAGTTTCCCCGATAATTGGCAATTTATCATACTAGGTTTGATTGTTGGTACACAGTTGCTGAAAAGATAAACACTGAGCTCGTTGTAAATTTAACCGTTTCAAAATAAAAATGTGATATGACATAATAACATTGTGAATGTTTCATGCCTAAATGTAGTGCCCTGGTGCTATATAAATATACCAGAGCTACAGAACTAAATCAACGTACAACTTGTTTCATTCAAATATACCAACAAGGTAAAATGTAATGAATAATTTTGTGTATTTCTATGCAATTTATATTTTTATAGTTAATTTTTTCTCTTCAATGTGACTAAATAAAATAAATAGCTGTCCTAAGTGCCTATTTGTACTCACTGTTCTCGTAAATTTTGTCGTCCGGTTTTTACTGGTGTGGTGAGCGCCACTTATTATCAGATATAAGTAGTGTATCAATAAACGAATTCAGAAAGGCAACAGTATGTTTCGGACACTGAAAAAGCATTCGAAGAGCAGAACGTTAGAAACACTGCACAAAATCCATAAGCTATCCAATGTGGCCATATTCGACCAATTTGCAAATGATGTGCAAATAAAGCATTGGAGATATGGTGTACTAAATTTATGTACCGACAATGAGTTTGTTTTGATAAACATTCCTTCGGAATTCATCGGTCCTTTCCTCCTTACACTAGTATTTAACATTAAACATTGTTATTATTGCCCTTTTATTCATCTTCACAGGCTGAAATAGAAGAAAAGCAGTAAGGTTCTGGATATGTAGTTAATTTGTGACACTTTACCAGTCTTCTTAAATTTGAAAAGCTGTTGTACCAACTTAATCAGTAGGCTGCGCGCAACAGTCTAAGTTGAATGACTACTCTAAATTTCATTCCACGGCAGTCGCGATGCAAATGGACGGAGTATTATTTAAAACCACCCATCACTGATACACGTTTGCCATAAAAAGGTAATCAGCTTCAATTTCAGTACATCTAGAAGTGGGATACAATATTTTACTTCGTTTGTTTCGCGTCTTCAAATGCTCAAAGTGCGCGCTAGTTATGATGAATGGGGACCAATGTTTAGCCTGGGAACAAAGTAAACAATTCTGGTCTGCGTAAAATAACGCCCACTGTTTAAGTGACCTAGATATTTTTTGATTATAGCTTGACTCCACGCCGTATTTTTGGTACAAGTATGGAATTTTCAGCATGTGATTTCGGTAGCCCAATTTTGAAGGCTGACCATCGGGTGTGCGTCGGCAGGGGATCGAACCCCGGCCCATGTGCACGGCCAGAAAGAGTCCTAACCGCTGTACCACCGACGAACAAGATTGGAGACAAACTGACACACTCTTGATAAAATTTCATACCATAAGTTATTGTGTGAATTCATTCTTTCGAGCCATCTCAGTGGTGTTCTTGTTTGCTCAGTATTGAGGATTTTCTCTATCAGACATAGTTCTTCGGTGGCGTTAGGCGGTATCCGTGATTACTGTGTCTTAGTAATTCGAAAATAAAGGTGGACGCCATGCTGCTAATTTATTCAAAAGACAGGATTATGAATAAACCATTATATGGATACACTTGTTCTAGCATAGCTTAATAACATTAATCACTTAGCATATCGACGAGCCGTTTACTTTCAGTCTCAATTAGAAGACCAATTAGTTACTCACTAACTTAGTAGTTTCAGGAGACTGCTCTACTCTTGTCTTCGAAATACTTTGTCCTATTGTATTTTTACTTCAAAATATGAGTATAGTGGACAGAGGATGCTGCTTATCCATGCATTCAGTCTTGATGTCCCATCTTTGCTCCTATTAATCAAAACATCCTCTAAACTATTAACAAGTTACTATTACTTTAAAATATATTTTTTCAACTGTTCTCATGTAAACGATGTTGATAATTTTATCACGTTTTTGGTGTTTCAGTTTTAAAAGCATCAGATTTCCCTTAAGTAAGCACCTGTTTCAACTTTATTGGGTAACGCTAACCTTTGACTAATACACTAGCATGTATATTTATATTGTGTTAGTAAGTACAAATACACACTGACATCTAAATCTCATACGCCTTCTGTCTCACTACTCCATATAATAATAGATTGATAGTTATTTACGAATGCAGTAAACAGTATTTCATAGTTCACGAGCAGCGCTTCGTACTTAGCAGAAGTATAATAATAATCATCACTTTATTCCACAACAATAACAATTTACAGCATGGAATTCTCAGCGTTTCATTTTACATATTGCATCGGTTTAGCTCTGTTTATAATTATATAAATGTATGAAATGTTAAAAATATTGATAATTAATAGGAAAAAAATAAAACCCCCAACAAAATCACACCATTTCTAGGTCACAGTGAATAATAAATAAATAATATAACAAATCACACATGCAATAATATGCATCATTACATTTTATAGTTTAGTTAATGATCTAAAAGTTGTAAAAGTACTTTTCCGATATTCGTCTCTTCACACAGTACTCGTGTCAAATATGGTACGGTCGAATTTTTATATTTTGTAGTACGAGCATAAATGTTTATGAAATTTCTTCTGGTCTTACCCGAAGAGATACAAGGAAACAATTGTGAATAAAGAGGATGTTCGCTATCAGACAAGATTACTTTAGCTAACTGTTTACAAGAATTCATATGCCTATTGATAACAGTGTCAGTTAGTTGAGTCAAAGGGATAGCACTGACCCTACTTACAGCCCTCAATGTTCTTCATAGTATTATATGGTCTTTCTCGAATAGCCCAGGGAAGAATAATGGAGAACAATAAAGAATATATGGGCAAAACACATGAATTAATAAATTGTATGAGAAGAGGTTGGGTGCCTCAACTTCTTTATGTAATAAATCAGACGGAAAACTTTCTTAGAAACTATAAGAATATGAGACGACCAGCAAAGGTTTGAAGAGAAACTAATGCCAAGATAAGAAACACATGACTTACTCTCTATCATGGTACCATCAATATTACAACAATCATGAGATTGGACCAATCCGTGCATATCTTTTTCACTTCTCAAGCTGAAATCAACAGTATTACATTTAGTTGGATTTAGTTTAAGACCATTTGAGCCAGACCAATCCTTAACTTCAGCTAAGAAGCCATTCATATGGGAACAATCCGATGTGGAAACTACGGGGACAGAAACGGTCAGATCATCAGCATACTTAATGAAGTTAACTTTGGGTGAGTTCGAAAGGTCGTGCAGAAAGAAAGAGAAAAGAAATGGAGAAAGTACTGCACCTTGAGGCACACCACTTTCAGGTAGCTGAGAAGTGGAGCGCTTTCCAGCCAAAACAGTATGCTGTTTCCTATTCTTAAAATAAGACGACAGCCATCTAGTTGCCCAGGTCTCTGTCTGTGCTGAAATCATCTTTCCTAATAAAAGTGTCCTAGGAACAGAGTCTAAAGCTGCAGTATAGTCTAAAAAAGCTGTTCGAACGAACTTAGCACCCTCATCAAGGCAGGAAAAAATATTGTGGTGTAGTACAATGGCTGCATCTAATGTAGTCCTTCCACACTTATAAGCAAACTGCTTAGGGTCACTAAAAGCTTTTAAAGAAGGTTTAAGAATGTTCAAAAGAAGTTTCTCCATAGTTTTCAAAAAAGGAGATGTTATAGCGACCGGTCTAAACTTTATACCTGCTCCAGATGATGATTTCTGTGCAGGTACAACCTTGATTTCTTTCCAGTCAGCAGGTACCGTTTCCTTGTTGAATGATGCATTAAGGATTTGAGTAAGAGGATGACACAAGATGTCTGCACACTTTTGAAGAAGAATGCCTGGTACACCATCTGGACCAAGACTGTGTGTTGGATTTAAAGATTTCAAACATAATAGTACATCCTCTTCTTTAAAACCCGGAAAATGACCATTATCTTGACTACGTACTTCAGGTACAACCATGTTAATTTGTTTCATGATAAATGATTTGTTTAAAGCATTAACATCAGAATAAGCATCAACAGACATTTGTTTTTTACTTGTAAGTTTATTGAAAAGTTTCCAAATGTTTGAAGGATTTTTACATGATAAAAATTTTTCATTATATAGTCTGTTCAACCTTTCTATTTCAATTTTTATAAGGGTGTTTATTTCACGGACACCAGTATTATCACAATTCTTATACAACTTCTCTTTTTATCTTCTAAATTTTCTGGTGCAAAGAAGAGATTCTGTCAAATCTCGAAAACAGTGTTTCATATGGACAGCAAATATCCAAACAAAACTTCTGATAATCGGTTATATTAGAGACAGTAGCATCCAACTTATCGTCAGTAAATAGTTCCCAGTTGGTATCATACAACATGCTTCTTAGTGCTAGAATGTTATCATGGGAATAGGAACGTTCATGTATCTTCTTTGTTAAATGACTAAACAATTTTCGTTGTAACTTGCCGCACACTTTCGGTAAAATACGAATAATGCAGTGGTCAGAGTTTAACAAAGGAGCTCTCCTTCGGGTTTCGTATACATCACGGTCGTTTATGAAAACCAGGTCTAGTGATTTGTCCAGACGTGTATTAAACTTGACTAGATTCTCATGACCAAGTGAAGTAAGAAAGCTGTGATCACATGAATTAAAATCACCACAGATTATAGACAAGGAGTTTCCGAATGCAGGAGCAGCGAATTCAGTAAATTCATC